CTCCCCAAAACCCCAAAACCCCAAAACCCCTCTCTTGCGGCTCTTTTTTGAAATTATTTGAATATAATCGGTTTAGGGATACTAGGAGTTGGTTTACATGGAATTTAGGGGCTTTTTGGAGGATTAAAAGAATACTTTGATCTTATCAATGATAGGTGCCCTACAGACAGGGCAGTCTTGGAATTTTTCTGAGCAGTCAAAGCAGAAATTTGAGTGCCCACATGTTATGAGTGCAATATTTCCTGTCCTACTGAAACAAATGTTGCAGAGATTTAGACTGGTATTGTTCTGAGATGAATTTAACTGAGATTCTTGTTCTTGTAAAGAATTAATAAGATCCTTACTGCTAGAACAGTTAGCATTCTGCCCTTCCATATCCATCGAACGATGATTACTGTTAATAATTGGCATATTTCCAGAGTCAGGAACTTTTCTGATTTGTTGAACCAGAAAAACTGTTGAACCTATTTTAATTATATCGTTAAGTCCTAATTCATGATTAACACTGCGTTCTCCCTCGTTACTAAGTCTCAACCAAGTTCTATTTGTAGATCCTACATCTTCCAAAATATAAGTTCCATTTGAAGGATCATATAATATTCTTGCATGATAATTACTCATTTGAGTATCTTCAGCAACTCAAAATGTGTTTGCTGGATCCCTTCCAATTTTAAGCCCATTTGAAGTAACGAGAATTCTCTGACTTCTAGAAGGACCTTCAAAAACGTTGAGTTCCATATTTTTGCTGAGCATTGTAACCTTGAATTCACTAAGCCCCATTTGAAACATCATTCCTTCTTCTAGAGTAACCTTTTCTCTGGTCATTAAGAAAGAGCCAGTTGTGCTTCCAAGATCCCTTAAATAAAAGCTACCGCTTTGATGTGAAATTTCACAATGTTTCCTCGACACAAAGGATTCAGAAATAACAATATCATTAGAAGCACTATGCCTCCCAAGTCTAGCTCCTTGTTGGCCGATAAGGTAGACATTATTAAGCTGTTGGCCTTCTACAACTTTAAGCACAATGATAAGTTTATCCTCTTGGTCATCAGGAGCTTGACTACCCTCTTCACTTTCATCAATAAAATTTTCAGATTGGTTGTGTATAACTCCAATAACCTCTACTGCAGGATTTCTACCATCGCTTTGTAAATTATGAGGACCAGTGTTCATATTAGTGATCTGCAGGTCTTCTTCCTCTCGATCTGGAGTAATCCTTCCATCATTTCCTCTCATATTAGGAACATCTTCATCTAATTCTTCATTTACTATAAATAATGTTTACAAGGTTTACTCTCTTTTTCTTCTTCAGAATGTTCGTCATTACCACCAATATTTAATTTTCTAGCAAAGTCTTCCTCAATTTTCCTAGTACATTCGGTATTAAGCTTCTTAATAGCATTAATGATCTTGACTCTATGCAGTCTTATTTTGATATCAAAGTCATTTATTAAGTCATCATCCAGGATGTGAGGAAGTAATGATCCGTCAATTGCTAGTTCAGTAAAGACAGGCTTGTATTGTGGGAGAGAAACTGTCTTATCAAGCCAGTTGCAGACATCTTCGATTCCCCAAGACTCATATTCTTTAAGTTGTTCTGTAGACTCCATATTTTAAATATTTTATACACAATATTCTCATTTTTCCTATATCAAATTGGGGTTTTGGGGTTTTGGGGTTTTGGGGTTTTGGGG